ATGCCTAAATTATTTTAACTGATAAAATTGTATGGTTTAATAAAATCCTTTTAATTAATTTTTTTGATAATTTACATTAAAAAGTTTTTAATCCTTTATAAGCATCAAACACTGACAGGGAAAGAACTTGAAAGTCAGGAGTACAATACAAAAAGGTAATTTTACATTAAGTACAGGTAGGGCAAATTGTTTGTACTTACAGTCATGATCCCACAAGTGAGTAAACCACATATGGACACATGAGGGTAAATGATCAAAAACTGGACACTATAAATACATAATTAAAATACCAAAGAATTTATGTAATTCCATGAGACTTAATCTTCATGTCCCCCCAAGTTCCTCTTGATCTTACTGTACAATGGGTAATGCCTAATAATAAATTCCTGCTAGTGTCCAGGTTCTGAAGATTTACTCCATCACTGGCTGGTAATAAACAATACTCATTTTGTCTGAGGTGGTTTTCCAATGCTCTTATCTTATTCAGCCTCATACTTACTTGACCTGAATGATAATAAATCTACTGTATATACAAGTTCCTGCTACTGTAAACAGCAGTTTGAACTCGCCAAGCCCTTACTGTAAGAATATGTCATTTGAAATTAGTGGAGCACACAGCTTCTAAAAAGTGGATGGATCACATTTAAATTACAGCATTTGATTCTGGAAGAAAACAGATGTGCTATTAATCATCCCTATTTTGTAAACCATCAATGTAGTCACTTGTGAGTAGACATCATCCCCACAGAATATAGATGTAACAAGGCTTGTAGCCCTCATAGCAAACATCCACTAGCGTAGAACACGCAGAATTAGCTAGAAAGACCATGTGACTGAAAATGCTGACAACTGTAAAGTTTCTAATACTTGAAGGAGGTGATGAAAGTAAATTTCTTTTTGTAGTGCTTTTGCATCAGTATTTCATTTTGTCATTCTGTAGGGATGAAGTGTAACCAGACTGGAATTATGTGACTTGGTTAGGGTTTACTTCCACAAAGTACTGATTATATATATAAAAAAAAAAAAAAAAAAAAAAAGCCTTTGTAGGACCCAATTGAGACACTAAATTGACAATCTGGTTACAGATGTACACAGCCCAAGCCAGCCAGGTTATAAAAACCGTATGCTGGTCTTTATACATGTACTGTACAAAGGTACAATTATGTACACAATGTACTCATTACTGTGACTTGATAAAACCCATGAGGAGTAACTGGCAGTAGCAGGGGCATTAGAACACACAATGAGATCAATGATTGTGACCAGCAACACAACAAAACACTATTTTACACTATGTACAATGCTGCCCATCATGCCTTCCTATCAGTTGCCTGAGCAGTGAAGATTTTTAATATATTATCTACATATTCTCTTTGAGAGATAAATCCATGCTGCAACCTTCATGAGTATGAAGTGCTCTCTGGCAGTTTCTTCTGTAGATATAAGTTAAATTGTTTGGAATAGTTTTTTTATGTTACACATATAAGTTGCATTAATATGTACCAGACTGCTGACAGAAAGGCCATCAAGGCATGGAGCTCTTATGAATGGCAGTGAAAAAGAGGTATAAAAATCAGTCATGTATATTTTACATTATATCAAAAGGTTGCATCCAAAGACGACCACCTTGTCTTTTGTCACAGTAGAGCAAGTTGCACTTCTACATCCCACTATACACAACTACACCCAGTCATCGCATATTCATACTCTTTAGGAAAAGCCTCAGTCTGACTGGTGCTGATGCCCAAAGTTACGAAAAGCTGCAACCTGACTGGTGGTGATGCCCACATATTGACATCCCAACATTCACAGTGCAGCTCTGTTTCAATAGATGGAACTGGTAATCACCATACAAGCTAAGATTTACACTAATGATCACTGGCTGCATTACCACTTCTACTTAAAATTCTACAATACACATAATTTAACAAATCATAATTGGGGTACATGATAATTAACATTTTCAACACAGTAAACAAATTCATGAATATCACAAATAAAACTAGAAATCTGGAGAGGATTATAGTTTGAAGGGGAGATAGGAATATGGCAAACTGTAAGAAAAAAAAAGAAGAAGTGTTTTAAAGGTATAGTTTGTGCCTTCCTCTGTATACCATGGCTAGCACTGAAGAACATCAATCTCTGTACAACAATCTAGTAAGTTATCCATCACATCAATTCATATTACACACTAAGGTCCACCTCCTCTTAAATAACATAAATGATATACAAAATAAATTAAAAAAACACACTGGACTAACATACACACACTTCAGTTAATGTTATGGCAGTAATAAACTCTCTACCAACACAAATCTAGTAATAACTTCCACTTCTACAATGGATGGCTCACACTCACCCTAATCATGCTAGATGCTAATAAAATAAAATCTTGTAATACATGTTCATTAACACTGATTAGTTAATTACTTTAGTGGTTAAGAGTAGGTACAGCTAAGGTGAGACGCAGGGAAGTTCCCCAGCTCCCGGCACACTAAATTAGCGGCAGTGTAGGTAGAGTACAGCTAAGGTGACACACGGGAAAGTTTCCAGCTCCAGGTGCTCTATGTCTGTCACCTACCTCGAGTTTTTTTTTTTGACACTTGTGACTAGACTCAGCCACTTGGTATCACTATGTCTCAATGTATTCATAGAAAAAATAAATTTTGTATAATAACACTGCCTTAACTCAATCTCTAAATCGTGTCTGCCAAATGACTAAATGTCAAAGATATATGGAAAATTTGGTGATAAAGTATATAAAACATCACACTTGTGGATATAATGTACTATAATTTATTCTTACTTGGTGTGTAATTGGACCTACTTCCTTAACACATTAAACAGATACAGTATATTAGTTTCATATCTGAATTTAATCTTGAAAACTTCGACCCCTTGTGACTTCCCTCCTTACTGAAGCGTGATGATCTATTATGCAATGATTATAATTATATGTAGCTATATTTTTTATACACCCAAGTCTGTACCAACATAAAATAATCTGAGTATGGTAATATAAATTTAAAAGAGGGGAGCCCAGTGGGAATAAAAATACCAGCAACATCACTTGATCCAGGGGATGATGATTCAACATGGTAAGTCAATATAATATTTGGTGCACTTTTCTCAAATCTTCTGATGGTATATCATAATGGGTTTCTTGTTATACAAAGCTCCATGTACAGTAGATGCCAAAAATGTGATTGAATTTAGGTGCAAATGTTTTTAAGAATTGAAACCACTGTAAATAAATACAACCACTAATGGAATACAAATAAGAAGTACAGTAAGTCCACGTATAACTTTGGCCCGCTTAACGTTGTTTTGGTACTACGTCGCTAATCTTTAGATGCCCAAAATTCATTTAACGTCCCAATGACTCGGTACAATGTCGTTTTGCGTCGTCACGGACTACTTTTTACGGAGCATCACCTGCTCTCGGCTCGGCAGTCTCAGTGACTCGCCACCCTCCTCCTCTTCACTACCCACCACATACACGCGCTCTACCACCTCCGCCCATCGGTGAGTACCAATACAAACTTAGTACAGTAGTTGTATATGTATAGTGCACTATTTTCTATAGAAATGGCAACAATTTTCTGTATATGTAATGTATTTCATGGGGCAAAGGGAGGCTCAGGAACGTAACTCCCGTATTTATCTATTTCTTATGGGGAAAATTGATCAGTTTAACGTTGTTACGTCACATTTTTAGGAACATAACCCCAACGTTAAGCGTAGGACTTACTGTATAATGATAAATCTCTCAAATCCCTGAACCCCTTCACTATGAGGAAGTGGGATGCTACATTTAATATTTTATTTTATAAATTCCAGACATTTTTATTCAGCTCAGAGGCAAAAACCATACACAGAGTTAAATCTAAAAATTTCATTTGAACTGGATATTAAGAAGGTAATTTTAAATTGAAATAAGGGCAGGAGTTGGTCATTTCTGAAGCTACTCACATGTTTACTTCTTTGGGTTGTGGTGCTAATTACTTTATCTTCTTAATAATAGCATCTAATGAATGATAATGGCATTAAGTTGAGCATGAGGGTGAACTTCACTTATACCTGTACTTAACACCACTCTACCTATCCTCATGTTTTGTATTATGCAATACTTTTAATTAACTGGCTTCATCTGTACAGTTGATCTATTCTCTGATTCACCAGTTATTTATACTGTACTTTAGTACAAAGGCATAAAGGTCTGATTTAAAGCAGTGCTATAAACTACAAATTTCTCTTAAATATTTTTAATAAAAATTGAAATAATTAAAGTTTTATGTTTATCTAAATAAATTTAAAAGAGTAAATATAAGTAAGAAATAATGCTGAAACAAAATCATGAACAGCAATATGTCTTGTATTTTAAAATACAAATAATACCAAGAGATGGTCCAGCCTTTGGGACTATGTTATCCCAGAATCTATAAGAGGTTTATACAGTGTGTTTCTCACTAAATTTTGTACATGAAACAATGATATAAATAACACTATTTGGCACACACTTTTTAAATAGGCTGAGAGTTGCAATGCATAAATTCTTGGCCTAATTGCCACCATGAGAGCATTGCAATCCTAATATACTGCAACTTTTTGTTGCAAGAATTTTCCAAACACTTAAAAAAGGGTAAAATTTTAGTATAAAGCCATACTGTATTATTACATTTTGAGAATATAGAAACATCACAGACAGGTGACTACTACGGTCACTTCATCTTCCCTAAGTAATGCAGTATAAAAGGCTTGCAATATTAATGTTACCAAATAAAATTACAATCAAAATGACTCGTATAAGAGCACTTCAGCCAGTTTTATTCAGTCAGTACTCAACCCTAAAAATGTAAAAATGTGGCAGCAAGAGCTTGATGCCTCTCAAGGCACCTCAGCTCAGTCTCTGAGCCAATTACATCAACTATCACACAAAACACCAGTCAAGCAACATCTATTTTATATCCACCAACCTTTGGAGAATTCATTAGTCAAAAAGTATACAAACAACTTTATTATTTTTTATATAAAAGTAATTGTAAAAAAATACTAAGTCCATTAAGATGGGGCAGTAAGGTACTTCAACTGTGTGAGAAAATCTAACAAATGAGACTAATAATTTTATCTAATCCCTTCTACTGCTTCTCTATTAAGCAGTAATGTGAATCAATATACTGTACCTTAAAATGAATGCATCTACATGAACCACAACACTTGAATGTCTCACAACTAATGAATTTGTATACTCATTCACTAACATTGTCATATACAATTTTCTTAAGTGTGGTTTAATACGAGTTGCCATTTGGTATTTTTCATTACCAAATTGGGGCATATTTGGTAATGAAAAATCCATTTGATATTACCTCATTTTGGTAAAGAACTCAGCCAAATTTGGTGATGATCAGTTTTGTTAGTAAAATTTTTAATATAATTATAGTATAAGTATATAACAATTTTAGTATTTCTTTTTCTTATCTTTGGTTCATAAGATGTCTCCAAACTTTACTTTCTGTGGGTATTATCAGGCTTTTGTTTGTAAATTTCTTTTCTTAACCCGATTAGTATCTGTCTACATACCTAAATTATGTTACCGTTTCTTTCTCATCGCACTAATGATTTCAATGACAGTAAGGGTTGCTTATAATTATTTTCCTAGCTTTATAGAGCAAACCAATGTCAAGATTTAGTTATAAAATGTGAACTGGAAGATTAAGCGGTTCTAGTTTTTGGGACAGTGTTTAAGTTAGCACATTACAGTACTTCTGATCAAAACAAAGACAATGACATTTAAATTACAGTTTTGCCTATACCTATAACTGTATATGATTAATGCAAATCATAGAAAGATTATCAGTACTGTCACGTATCGAGACATCGCTTATGGAAAATTGCTCAAACACGTGAGATGCGACCCCCCCCAGACGCCAACTACTGTATGTCGCTGCCAACCACCTCCCAGATGTTATGTGTTGCAAAACATTCAGCCACTCATCAATTAGAATAAAAAAATTACATCACACTACAGCCGCACGGTTCTGGCCCACGCCCCAATTAGAGCGACAGTTGAGAAATAGTGCCGATTGACTGCAGTGAGAAGGTTGTCACAAACACTATGTTGAAGTGGAAAGAGATCTATGAATCAGGAAGAGTTTACCATTCTGAGTGGGAAAAAGAATACCCTCGGGTTTTCAAGGTTAAAGATGGAACACAGCAAGCATATTGTAAGCTGTGCACCAAGGGTTTGCAACAAAGGAAAGCAACACTGAAAGCTCATGCACATTCAAAGAACACAAGCAATGCATCTCCTCCATCAGCTCGACTAGAGTGTCCGTGTTCCAAAGTTACAGTAAGGAACGGGATCCCAGTGATAGACTTCAAGTGGAATTACAGCTTGCAGTTGCTGTCTGTTGCCATTGCCAGAGGCAGCTGTACATCATTTAGGTAAGATTGTGAAATACAAAGGAGCTGGCAGTACACTCGAAAACTTGTGACTTCATCGTACAAATGTTCCAAGTTAATTCCAAAAGTAATTTCACTTTCACTTGAGGAGGAATTGAAAGAGAATCTACAGACATTGTAAGCGAGTAAATAGCGACTGCATTTTTGGAACTCGTACATGTAATTAATAGATTGATTGATTGAGTGTTGTAATTTCATACCTAGTGATGCAACAGCTATGGTCACATGTCACCGAATTAAATTGAAAGCTTAAGACTAAAATCAAATAATGCAAGGTAAAAAAACATAAATAACAAATAGCATAAAACTCGTAAAAAACATTTAAACGTTAAGAGATAAAACTCAAAGCTTGTGCAGAAGGCCGGCTTCCTCCAAGAAGGAAAGGGCGCCCCCTCCCAACACCAAAGAGAGACTGTAAGACCCGTCTTCCCCCAGCACTGGGAGAGGTTACTTAAGACGAAGATATCTGAGACGGGCACTCCACCAGGTGTCAAACAGTCAATGGGACCAGGCAGTCATCACAATGGGGAGGAGGCACCCTATCCATAAAAAAACCATGAGCCAGTCATGTGTAGCCAATGCGGAGGCGGGCCAAAGCAGTCTCCCAGAGGCATGACAGTCCCTGATATCCCCAGACACCCAAAGCAGGGTGGATGTCCCAAAGCTTGTTTGCTCCAACAGCATCTCACCTACATTGCCAACTCGAACAGATGGCAGCTCTTATTACTGGCTTCATATCAGAAGCAAGTAGAGGGGAATGATGTGCCACAGGGTGAGCAGCTGTTTTTGCCACAGCATCAGCTTGCTCAGTCCCCTTCTCCCCCACATGGGCCAGAACCCAGCAAAACTGACTTTCCAGCCCCAATGTTGGATGAGAAACAGCCACTATAAAATAGCTATAACTAAGGGATGGGGTGATGAGACACTAGCTAAGGCCTCGAGAGCACTGCGAGAAACACTAAAAAAAATTAAATTGCTTTGAGGTTATGTAAAAATAATCTTGAGTGAAAGTAAAACACCTGAAAGCTTTGCCGCAGTAAAAATAGATGCATGTTGGAATCCATCGTGAGAATACAGACGTCGTTGTTAATGACTGGGAAATGTTGTAGATGTGAAAATCACAAATAGTATATACTAATCCAAAAATTCTTGGGCAACATATGATGTGGATGGGGGTGATGAGAAATTGGCTGCAGTGTGTAAATAAAATGCCAAATTTGTGGACCAGTATTATTGATCAGCACGTCACCATCGATGGCAAGGTGAGCGATATTTTGTCTATATGTTTAACTGGGTAAAGTTTGATTTTGTAATGAAAAGTCTGATTATGGTAATAAATATTGAGGAATCTGGTTATGAGTGCAAACTCAAACCTAGCAACCCTGGTGTGATCATTCCTCTTGTACCTTCGTCTACCAATACCTGTACTTTAATCAATCATTCATCATACATTTCATTTGTTGATTCTGCAACTGTTGTCTTTGCTCTCATTTTCCTCTGACATAATCTATACTGATCTTCCACCTTACTTTATACTGAACTGTACTCGTGTGCTGTCAGCACATACCAAGGTGTCCCGAGTGGAAAAACAACATTCATCCCAGGGAAAGTTGGAGAAGAATTCTTGCAAGGATTGCTAGTTTACCCTCCGATAGTGCCATAGTTAGCATTTAGAGGAGGGTGGGGGAGGTGGTCGTGCCCAGTCTGACTTAAGGGTCGTTTATCACCTGTTACAGACTAAGGGAATTTCATTTTTGTCTGACTTCCCTTATTTTAATTTGTGTTATGCTGGGTTGCCTAACTAAGAGATTCTGTAAGCTTGACCACATATATTTTAAGGGAAAAATAATCGTATGAAATTTTACAAAAAAGTTTACCGTTCTATAATTGCACTTTGTCCTTATTTTCTATCATATATGTTTGAAAATTGGTCCCTGCAATGACCACACCTACATTTTGTATTAATTACCAACATTTGACCTAACTGTTTTCTTTGCTGTGGCAAAGAAGCACTAAATAGGGGCAAAAAATATTGGGAAATTTGAAAATATCAAAAATTTTGCCAATACTAAAAAAAAATCGCATTTTGTTCCTGTTTATAAAGCAATCTTCATTTTTAATATCGACTGAAAAATAAACAAATAGTGCTCTTTCAAAAGATAACTTTAGTTTTGAGATACGGCCCATTTTCTGTGGAAGTATGGTTCTATTACGTATAGTTGTCAGTATGGCACTGTTATGGCAAATACAGTACAGTTTTTCTAAGGGTATAAACATGTTTTATTGTTTTATTATAATTTTCTGCAGTAGTTAGGGTATACATTTTATTGAACTGCCATGTGGCGCCGAGGTAGCAGCCATCATGATCTAGTGTGCTGCAGAGGTGAGGGTGGTGACGCTTGGTCCTTCTATAGTACTCTTCTTTGTCTTTCTTTATGTTCCCGTTCATGCCTCATCAACTCCCGTCAAAAAGACATCTTCTTAGAGCACTTGGACATGCATGTACAATAAAGCAACAGGAATATTGTAAAAAAAAAATAGCTAGAGATAGGCAGGGGGCTCTCGAGCAGAGGCGCGCAGGTCAACTCCCTCTGACAGTCGCAAAGACACTGCTTTTCCTCATTGCTAACTAGCCAAGTTGGAGACGTTGCCATTCAGTCTAGATAGTTGTATTGGGGAAAAGAAAAAAAAAAAAAAAAAAAATAGCACATTAGATACATAATAATGATAAAACTACAGCAATTAGAAAACAGATTTTTGCAGGGCTGGGGGGTTCAATATTGGGTTATATAAATATATTATTTTGATGGGGAAAAATTGCCATATGACAACCAAACTTTCACAAAGCATGGAGATGACCTTAGGCCAGACTCGAGTATTTTTTTCTGCATTTCGATATTTTTTTCGTTGTGTTAGGCAGAGTTCGCCCTGAATAGAAATACTGGAAGATTGTGATCAGAAGACCCTAAGGTGGCAGAAATTTAGTATGAATAGTGTGAGGGGTTAGAGGTAAAACAAAGATCAAGAATGTAATTAAGTTGATCATGTCAATCTGGAAAACTTGTAGGGTGTTTAACCCTTTCGCTGCATTTCCCGCACTTGCCATTTTATTCTGGCTACCGCCAAACGATTTTATTCAGCTTGGGGTAATCTCCCGTAGCCAAAGGGTTATTTATTTGTTCCAGACCATTAAGTATGGACATAAAATCTATCATTCAATCTTAACATCAACCTTATACAAAACCAGTCACTTCATTCATTCATTCATTCTTCAGGTATTCTCTATCATTCCTCACTTTATTCAATTAATAAAAATTTGTGAACCTCACTCGTGACATTTCTACTGGTTCTCAAACTAGTGATCTTCATATCTAACCCAGAGGCTACCAAAGGCATGGGGTAAGCAGCTATAATTACAAATAAATTATCAAAGAATTTGTGTGAGTCAAAAAGCTGTGATAAAAACAAACAATAAAAGCTCATGTTAAATGAAATGTTAAGAAAGTAACCTGATACTATCACAGCATTACACACATAAAGCTATTTAATTTGTTTTGAGAAATGCCCTCTTGCCCTATCAAAATGGAGTTGTGAAGCATATACACTATTTAAAAAAGATAAAAACAAATGTCTACACATGTTGGGAAATTCACTAAGTAGCCCCTCCCTTAGCACTCTCATATTCACATAACAAAATAATTGGCTCATTGCATCAACACCAACCAACCACAGAAGTGACTATATGAATGACAAAAGCTCCTTACAGATAATTTCTAAATATGTAGTGATGATTTCTTGATTTCTAAAACTGACCTGATAAAAACAAAACTTGGCAGACTTGCATAAAAGTTGAGTGATTTAACTGATGGAGAAGCTAAGGCCAACAAACATATCAACAATATTGTGTACCACGAGCTAGTGACTTCAACAAGAGATGGCAGGAGCAGCAACACTCACCACCAGCTGTGCTCCTCCATTACAAATGTTTCCTGCATTAATATTATCACACGCTGATCAAATCATACACTGAGGTAAAACAGAAACTAAATAAATAGTATATAAATAGAATTGAGCATATTTAAATAAATCCTGAAAGATTTTAAATGAACCACAGCACCACATACATATCTGATCATCCAATGTAAAAATCTTTTATCTATGTAAGGTTAAAAATTACCATTAAGAACATACAATTTTGAGTCAATCTAAAATTGAGATGAAAATATAAAATAATTTGTAAATATTAAAGTAAATATGGCAATTAACAAAATGTTGCTTTGTCAGGTTGTGATGCACTTTAGAACTAACATTTGAGGTTTGTTTGTCTGAAGTAGCAGAATTTTAAAAAATTTCTTGGCTAACCAACATTCATTAAATGGAATATTATTTGCATCAACAAAATTTACTTTCATTGATAACATTCCACTGACAAAATGAGCACTAGAAGTTAATTTTTCTTCTAATTCTTCAACTAATAATCTACTGGTTTTGTCCCATACTGTATTAGAATTATAGTTGTCTAGTTACTTCTTACTCTGATGCTCACCTCTACAAGTATATTTTGCTGGAGAACTAATAACAACAAATTGCCATTAACTCACCATGCTGTTTAACAATAATAACAACTGACGTGATAACCTGTTATTCTTATATACAGGTACAGTACTTAAAAATCTATTAAAATAGTACAATAAAGCTTTGGTTAAAAAAATCTTGTATCTAAAAGTAGTGCAGTAAGACTTGACTTACAAGCATCACACTTGCAGCTGCAGCTATTACACTGGTGCCACACTAGCTCCAAGCCACCCCATTATTTCTTACAGACAAAGGAAATGCTATATGGATCCAGTGCAAATACATCTATAATCTACTGATTTCAATATCCAAGTTACTTTAAAAACATTGCTTTTCCATTGGTCCCTCTATTATTATATCTATTAAAATCTAGGAAGATATGAGGTTGGCAGTTCAATATCTATTTAATATTCAAACTTCTTTGAAATGAGTTCAATGAAATTCTTTATATTTATGTTATACCTAAATCAGAATGATGTACCTCAGATACCTAAAGTAAGCAAACTTAATGACTGTAACATTTATCAATGGAAATATGGTGCATGGTTCATTTGTTTAAGCTTTCAATGGCAGTGCAGTCATCTCACTAGAGTCCTTATGTGCTAATATCAGCCAGTGTAAGGATAGTAATAGTTTATCCCTGGTTCTTTTTAACATAAAATGTTACACATGATTCTTGCATATACTGTATGTAAAATGAGACTACCCTGCTTCTTGTTTAACATAGATAAACAAAATATTCCAAATGGTTCTGTTGTCAATGTTATTGAAACCCAGATTTTTTGCCATTATGGAAATAAAAAGTGTCCTGACACACTTATACTGTAACTGGTCACTGTCTGAAAATGCCACAATATGATCACAAAGTTGAGTCTGTGAAATAGTTTCCCATCTTGGAATAACATGTGCTAGTGACTTTAGTCTCCCCGAAATCATTCCATGACGAGTGTATTTACAATCGAACAGTTCCGCTGCCCTGAAAGTTCTCTGTTATATCCCTTCAAGTTTTGAGGAAGACCCATCAAAGAACACACCTGGTGAAGGAGGAGCAAGTAAAGTAAAAATTACAGATATAGACAATGAGTGAAATGCCGCAGTAGTCTTAGTAACAGCTGGGCCAGAGTGGGGTGAACACTCGGGTGATGAAACAAGACCCACAAAGGACCTATAAATGAAACCACCTAGATGATTCTGCAATACTGCACAGTACTGATATTAACATTTATTTCCGTATCATATATGAATCTGACTCAAGATTGTGCTAATTTTTTAGACACTGAAAAGATGCAAAAAATTCATACCCAGCACAAACTCCTGATTAAAACAATATTTATATCTATAAAATCTTAAGAAATGAAGAGCCAGCAGAGAAAAGCTAGTAAAAAAATTTTAATAACCTTTCTTGTTTAATTCCCCAGATATAATTTAGTTTAGCTTAAATCAGCCAATCTCATTTGGGTATCTCCTTCAAATAATGTTTAAAGTAAAATGAAATAAAATCCCTACCAGTTGAGCAGCCTGACAGCTTCCTGCATAAACTAATTGTCCAGCAGGTCAGAGATCTTGCATGAAACACCACATACTTATTCTTTGGCTTCTATCTCCAATGCTGGATACTTGAATGCCAGATATTCTATTGTAAAACTCTACTCGAGGCCCAGGACACAATCCACAAAATTAGTAATCATAATAAATTTAGCTAAAAAAAATAATAAATACAAGTATTGTATGATTAACCAGACACAGATGGTGGAAGTTGATGTAATGTAAGAGATGACATTCAACACTTCACTGATCCACCTCTTTTCAGTGAACATTCCAGCAGTGTTATCACCAAAGATCCCTTCCCTTGATAAATCAATTCTGCCATATTTTTTATCAATGTGGCTAAAACTTAATTTATAAATGAAAATTCTAAAATGAGGTAAGTGGAAATTTTTTTAAATGGAAAACCTGAATAGATGCAAGTAGACTCAGTGGTTTGAACCAGTTCCACTTGATGCTGCAACATTGTGTGATTTTGTAAATCCACACGACTGGTGTTGGTCATCACAGCTCATTTGCTCAACTCTGTCAAACTGAAAATTCAAATATAACTAATCAATTCAATGTTCAGGTGGATAACATTGAGAAAACTTAATACAGTAAAAGTACAAAAATCCGGATGCCAGAAATCCGGACCACCCGAGAATCCGGACTTTTGGAAAACTTAATTATTATTATTATTATTATTATTATTTTTTTTTTTAGTGGGCTTTTGTGTGTATGTGCGCATGCGTGAGCGCCACAGCTGCACAGCGACAACAAGCGACCACGTGGTCGCCACTTTAAAACGAGCAATCAAACTGTGACAACATACCGTATATACTTATCTATAACCCCCCCCCCCCTCGTTTATCGGTCGACCCTGATTTTTTGACCAAGAAATCGTTAATTTATGATATTCCTCGTTTATAGTTCGACCCACGTTTTTGAGGGTAAGGGAACAACAAAACCTTCAGTAAAAACGCTCTACGTCCTATAAACTGAAACACGAGTGCCGAAGGCAAATTGTTTACCATTTATTATTACGACACTTTACACTGAAACGCGGGTAGTTTCAACAAAAATATTGTATATTTCCATTCAAGTATTTATTCAAGTCAATTAGGAGGGAATATTATTGTAATACAATAGTTTTTTAACTAAACCATTCGAAAAGCGATTAACGGTAACATCTTTTGAACGAAAGAAAGCGAAAGTCATTGTTTTCGTTACGATTTTATCCCACTTTCCACTTTAATACGTACGTAATTTCAGCAAAAATATTACATTTCCGTGAATGTATTATATCAAGCACAGTATGAATAGAATATCATTGTAATATAACAGAATTTTAACCGAAAACTATTAAAAAAACGAGTAACATCTCAAGAACATCGGAAGCTTAGGTAAAGTCTTTTGTTTTCGTCATGTATTTTATCCTATTTTACATTGAAATACATCACGTTTCAGCAAAACTACTATTTATTTCCGAGAATATATTCATTCAGGCGCAGTTTAGGTAAAATATACGTGTGATGTAATAGTTTTTTAACTGAAAACGATTCGAAAATCACGTACCCTCTAGCCCTGTTCAAGGAGAGACTGGGAGAAGCAGTTTGGTGCTGCAGACGATGACAAAGAAAATGATTTTGATGGATTTTAATGAAAATATTCAGAAATATGGTATCGTAGTATTTATTCAAGTCATTTAGGATAGAATATTATTGTAATACAGTACAACAGTTTTTTAACTAAACCATTCGAAAAGCGATTACGGTAACATCTTTTGAACGAAAGAAAGCGAAAGTCATTGTTTTCGTCACGATTTGATCCCACTTTCCGCTGTAATACGTACGTCATTTTAGCAAAAATATTACATTTCCGTGAATGCATTATATCAAGCACAGTATGAATAGAATACCATTGTATTGTAATATAACAATATTTTGAGTCCTACTCTTTCCATTTACAGATTACTGTACAAGCCCATAATAATGGCTCCTAAAGTAGATAAACTTCGTTGTGTGAAGAGAAAGAAGAACACGTTGAAATTGAGTGACAAACTTGAAATAATTAAGAAACTAGTACGTGGTGTGAGCAATACTGTTCTAATGGAAACATACGACATTGGAAAGTCTACAATTTATGATATAAAAAAGGCAAAGAATAAAATTCTAGAATTCACAGCTTTTTCATTAAAACTGCTCATTTTGATAAATGAAGCATGCTATAATTGCTAATGAATAAACTATCAAAATGTACCTGTTCATCTCTTTATTCCTCCTTAAATTTGAATTTTAAAAGTACTGCCTGAGAATCCGGAAAATCCGAAAATCCGGACCGACCCAATCCCCAAGCAGTCCGGATGTTTGGACTTGTACTGTAACTACAATATTACCCACCTGCTGATTTGAAAATCACCTTTTTATCCATATATTTTTTGTAAACTTTTCAAGATTTCTCAAACTTTCGACTATTTATATAATTCATTAAATAAAGATGTTGACAAGGAAATATTTAATTATGATAGTACAGTATAGCACCATGAAAATTGTTATGTTAACTTACATTAATGATGGAAGTATGGACCTTGTGCTTGAGGGCCTTGTGATCGCTGTGGTGGTGGTGCTGCTGTCACCAGCTGGTGGTGGTTATGGTGATGGCGCGGCACTGATGGTGGGTATGTAGCAGTGTGGCGATGATGGTGGTGGTGATGATGGTGATGTGAGGTGCCGCTGTTGTACGGCAGCTGATGTGATGGTGGTGGAGGTGGGGACCTTCTGCTGTGGTGGTGGTAAGATGACTGGTGATGAGATGATCGATTCCTCCATTGCCAATTTTTGCCTTTGGGACGGAACTTGCCGTGATGTGTATTGTTGTGGTGGTGGTGGTGGTGATGGTCTGTATCTAGAGGACTTATCTGTTCCTTGTGGTAAAATTTTTTTTTGAAATGGTGGTGGTAAATGCCATGTTCTGTGGGTGACGTGATGGGTGACACTAGACGTGTGGTCTCCAATTCTGGTGGAAGATATGGGGGAGTCTCCCCTCCTCGAGGAGGGTAAAAACCAGGTGATTCACCACCGCATCTATCTGGGGAAGGAGTCGGAGGAGGAGAAGATATGGGGGGTGTACGGACTGGGGGTCTTGGCGACTGTGGTGTAGGAGGTCGGCCATCTGGTATGGGGCTTGGTGACAATCTGGGCGGAGAGTGAGGGGAATATGGAGGGGGACCAGCAGCATCATTACTCCGTACCACTTCCTCTTCCTCCTGCCTGCTTCGAAAAGTTGATGCTTCACGTTCTAAGGTGTGTGGGGGTTCTGCAATGGGTGGGGGTCGGCGCTCACTACCTCTGGGTGATGCAAACCCTTCTTGTCGTGGGGATGTGCCCTCTGTGGACTTACGACGTTTGTCAACTTCAGAAGCAAAGGCTACCAACTTGTCAAAGCCACTGTTAATTTTATCTTGCCACTTTTGTAGTGGGGAGTCACTTCGCTCCAACCCTGAGGACATAAACACAACCATTTGTAAATGAAAGAAGGCACAACTTAAGTTTGCTGTATCTATAAATACTGTATGTCATTTTGTAAAAAAAAAAATAAATAAAAAAAAAAAAAAATAAATAAATAAAAATAAAAACATCCTCGTACAAATTATTTTTTACATGAGGCTTATTAGATAATGATCAATGATATAAGTCAAATATTCCATAAAAGAAAACAAGCAATTTAGCTGACCGGTGTCACTAGCCAAATGCCTCCACATAACCAGGTTTATAAACAGCTTACTTAACTAATAGTTCAGTTGCTACTAACTTATATAAGCACTTAATAGTAACATATAACAGTGTGCTATGGTACAGTCCAAAGCTATGGTGGAGACAATCTTTAGCTGCAGGTCTTTAGTAAATAAACAATTTAACATACTGTATATACAGTACAGTACAGTACATGTAACTCTGTATTTAATGAACATCAAAATGTGGGATTTTCTCACAAAATTTATTTATGAATTGTTTCCAAAGAAGATCAAAAGTGACACTGATGATGGAAGTCACATAGTATTGACTGTCTCAGAGTTTCAAATATTAAGTTAAGGATCAATATATGACGTAGGGAGAACGGACAACAGACTTCACATGAAAGCTTTTATTAATCTATATACTGTTCCCCTCTCTGCTCTTATGATGAATAGGGTGGTCCATCTAACACCCCCATACAATAACATCCCAGTACATAATGTATATTTTCCTTTATTTTTTTCATCACAAAAGCTCTCTATCCTAGCTTATATTTCTCTCACTCAAGTACAGTACTGTACATTAGTTTAGTCATTCTCTTCCCATAGCAATTCTCTCTCAACACCACTGCTGTATCAGCCCCCTCCAAGTTAACTGTTTTTAAAACCATCTTAATGACGGTACAGGTAACGACCGTTATACGATGGATCTATATATGATCGATCAGTTTTACAATGTTATAAAATTAACACCATTTACTGCTATGCAATAGCCAAGATCGGTTTTACAATGGTCGCTACCCAAATGGTTTTCTTGCATTGTCACTGCGATGAAAAAGTGATGTGCAATAACTCACAATATTCATTATGACGAAGCAATCTCGGAATGGCAACACATACAACCATTATTCACACCACCGACATGTCCAACACCCCACAACCACCACCATAACTCACACCACTGACATGTCCAACACCCCACAACCACCACCATAACTCACACCACTGACATGTTCAACACCCCACAACCACCACCATAACTCACACCACTGACATGTTCAACACCCCACAACCACCACCATAACTCACACCACTGACATGTCCAACACCCCACAACCACCACCATAACTCACACCACTGACATGTCCAACACCCCACAACCACCACCATAACTCACACCACTGACATGTTCAACACCCCACAACCACCACCATAACTCACACCACTGACATGTCCAACACCCCACAACCACCACCATAACTCACACCACTGACATGTACAACACCACAAAGTTACCAGTAATACCACATTACTTGCACCATCAAAAACCATAACATCTACGAGGGAATTCTGGCTACCACACTCTGGGCCAGTGATCAGGCATATGTACACCACTTTATTATACAGACTCTCCATCTACAAGAAGGATGTGTCAAAAGATGTGCAGAAAATACAGTGTGTCTATGATAGAACTACTACCTTAAAGACATGTGAAAATGTAACGTTCCTTTGTTAATACCTGTGGGGGGTTTACAACAAGCCCTCAACCACCATTTCTTTATCTCATTCCTCTCCATAATTTGTTTACCAGCAATCAACTTTGTTCAAAATGTGTTGTCATACATATACTGTACATACATACATACACACACACACACACACACACATACAGTGTGTATACTGTACATACACACATACATATACTGTACATGCATACATATACTGTACACACACACACATACATATACTGTACATACACACACATGTATACCATACATACACACATACAGTATGTACACTGTACATACTCACACATACATATACTGTACACACACACACAGTCATCTAACTTTCCTGGTTATATGAAGTGGATCACATATCACACCTGATCTTTATTCTGCCACCCTTTCACATATGTTTAATACACTAGTATTAAAAAAATATATGTTATTATGGTGGAAACGGTATATTTATTTGATTGAAAAAAACCAGCAGCAGTTAACAGCCCATTGAATTTACCCATTTAAAAATTGTATTGTTAAATTTATTTAAAAACTTAATTTGCATCCAAGAATGTATGTCCAGTGTGGTGTTGCAAGAATTAAATAAACAAAAAACTAAATCTTTAACCTTCACTACACTTTCCTCCAGCACCTCGGCTCCAAACCTCTGCACAGTACTGTACCACTAACACCCTCACAGGTAGCACACTACTGTACAGTATAAGGAACCCTTCTTCACAAAACAAGTACTATTTATTCTGCAATGAATTATGTCATCAAAATATAGAGGTGATGTGTGACACTCTGGTTATCCTGAACCTAGCCAATCATTGTGGCACTATCCCTGAACCTAGCCAATCATTGTGGCACTATCCCTGAACCTAGCTATTTAGTGACACTACAACAATTGTAAGAGAACATTAATTTTGAGTATACTTATTACACAATCTATCACACTTTCTTTTGATTGTGACAGTACATTTACTATGCTATACAGTATTGCTTCGGGATCCTTCTCTTCAAACACTTCATCAAATAACACCTAAATCAATTTCTACTGGGATTCACTCCTTGCATCCTAGCACATAAAATTGACAATACAGCATGCCCTTACAATTCGCGGCCTTCGATTATTAGCGGATGACACCCTGGATGTATCTAAGAATGTCTGCAGGTAGTTTTAAAGTTGGTGGCATTTTCGCAGCTGGGACGGGGAGCCTGCAAGTTTTATGGCATCCCACAAGGTGTCTTTCTCGTCCAGGGTGGCTGGGCCATGTGCGCTCACTCGGCCTCAGTGACAGTCCGGGTTAAACACGTGTCCGTCTCGTGCGTGTGCTACTCCGCTCTCTTAACTGTGCTCCTTGTGCTTATGATGGCTCACAAACGCCCTCAACCACCTTCATCCAGCCATGGGTAGGTGCCCAAACAAGTGAAGAGAGAAAAGGAGGTCATATATTTCTCCCATACGTACACCTGGCTATGCCTGGCAAGGGGAGCAAGTGACTGCTAGTTAACTCGTCATTCGCGGTTGTAACTCTCTTCACACCCTGCCATACTTCACTGGATTTACTGTTATCATTAGTGTTTACTGTTAAAACAGTGTTTAATATTGATTAATTATGGCACTGTAGCCAAGTAACCACCATGGTACTGGGCCAAGCTGTGAGATGTTATGGTTTTTTCAACTCGTATTTTTGGGTAGATATACTTGACTTTCATTTATTTTTACCCGGTTACATACACACACCATCCTAAATACATATTGTGAAAAAGGGTAAAAGAGCACAGAGTGTAGCTGGTGGGGAGCGTTGCTAGGGAATCAGCATCCCAGCTGATCTTCGTTACTATGGTGGAGCAGGAAGTGTATGTTAATGGCAACTGTGTTTAACATTCATTTGGTCATTATTTACTGGTTTGGCACTAGTATTTTTTGTTGTAACTTATTTATTGGTATTTTTATTTATTCCTCATATTTCCTGGTACTGTAATATTATTTTAAGAAAACTATGGCTGTGAGCTGTTATGGTTGTTTTTCAACTCTAATTTTCGGGTAGATATACAGTACGTAACTTTATATATTTCTACTCAGTTACATGCACATGCCATCCTATATACATAGTGAAAAAGTACAGCATTACACCACAATTACTGACATCCTTCATGATGGGTTGGCTAGATGGCTACGAAAGAAATTTTGTAAGATTGATCTACGTATCAACCCAGCTGGCGCTCAGATGCCATTTGTTCCAGAGGCAACCCAACTTTAATAACAAAGCATGAAGTTGACTTGAGATGAGACTAGCATTTTTTTCTACATTTCGATACATTTTGTTGTCTTGTTTCTGATTATTTATGAGAGGATTTAACCATAATTATTTATGTGTGAGTGTGTTTGTGCACATGTGTGTGTTTGGGTGGCTATACACACATATGCAGCACAGGTAAAAGAAATATTTGTCCTAAGGGCAAACACATAAAGGGCATATACATTTCTTCGCATCAATATTCTACAATACATACTGTACTGTATCTGGTAACTGCTCGAGTGAACATCAGCTCCCCATTTGTTATCAAATATAAACCTCTGAAAGAGGATACTATACCTCAACAAGTACACACATCCAGAATACAGCAGTATATGTAGGGAATACTACAGTAATAATAAAAGCAGATGTAATGAAGAAATATTAGAAAGGAAGAAAATAGCATGTAACAGTATGGGGTGTGTAGTGTAGTGGCATCACCACTGTAGACAAGGCCAATGAAGAGAGCCATCTAAGATAAAAAGAGGTAAAGTGGTTTCTTTTCTCCATTAGCAGTGCTTCCAAGGCTAAACAAACTACTAAATGGAATGTTAAAAAAGTGAGGGAGAAGGTATGGTGTATAATTGAAAGAGAGATGTGTTATTAAAGAAGACTGTGGTGTAACACTGGCTGTAGGACACAAAGGAACAGTTTGTGAGTTAGCACTGCCTGACCACTACTGTGAGCACCCAGAGGGGAAGCAGACGTGAGTACCAAGCTAATACTGTACTGGCTGTTGACTGTTTATATTCTGAGCCCTGGTCATGATCTCTCCTTTCTCGGCACTAATTATGTCACCACCACCACCTTATCCAGTAATGCGTTCTTGTATAATATAAAGGGTCCAACAGCAACAAGTAACAGTCTTCATAAATTTCGCAACAGCTGAGAGTTTGTACCTTCTAAACAGTGCAAAAATTACACATTTCTTCACAAACCTACGTGATTGATCTCATACAT